AAAAAAGGGGGGGAAAGACAAAGAAATACAAAACCAACTGGGAAAACAAGGTTAAAATGGCAATAAATACAAATCTATCAATAATTCCCTTAAAGGCTGATAGACTAAATGCTCCAATCAAAAGACAGAGTGGCAGATTTGATTAAAAAACTAGAGCCTACAACAGGCTGCCTACAAGAGACCTGCTTGGGGCAAAGGACACCCAGAGGTTGAAAGTGAGTGGGGAGCACCCAAGGGAACCTGCCTTGTGTCCCTCTGACCCCCGCTGCAGCAGGGGCCCAAGAAGCCTCGCCTGAATGTTTCATCTGGCCTCTGATCAAGGAGGCCAGGAACCCTGGTTGGCAACATATTTTGCAGCGCCCAACATGAGGTCCGTCCCCTTCTGGGGAGAGGATCTGGGCCCCTCTGGGAGCATGGAATGCAGCTGCCCATGGGTGACAAGTGGCCACCTGAACCCGTTTCAGCATCACCGCATTTGAAGCTGCCCTCCTGGCCCTGGGGGCCTCAATGCCTCACTCAGGCAATGCGTCCCCCCGCTGTGTCCTTTCCTTCTCCTGACATCTTCCCTCTCTGTCCCACCCTCCCAAGAGTGGACGTCGGACAGCTACAGCATCCCTCCTCTCAGCCTGAGCCCTGCTCCTCCTGGCGGGTGACGGGCAGAGGTGGAGCAGCTCGCCTCACCCCGCACAGACCCCGGTCCAGAGGGCTCCCCCGGAGACTTAGGAGAGTCACAGAGGTTCCACCCTCAGGTCCTGTAGTGGCTGCAAGCCTGACTGTCCCAATATTCTCACCTTTCTTTCCTGCCGCCAAGATACGCCCTGCTGGGGACAGGATGAAGTGGCAGATTGCTATATACTATACACTATATATACCATATACTGTGCGGTCAGAGTCCCACCTTTGGGTCACAGTCCCACAGACAAACAACTGGCTGGTCTCCGGGCGGATCGTCGGGTGGGCAGTGGACAGGGGGCTCCCTTCTTCACTGGCCCTTCCCGGAAGAGTGCTGGTTGGTGCCTGAACAGACGCCTGCAGGGGGCGGGTAGAAAGAGCACTCTCTGTTTTCCAGTCTTTTCTGTCCCTCCTCCCCTCACCTCTTCCTCAGTCCTCACCCCTACACTACAGCCCCTTTATCTGAAAGCTTTTAGTGTCTTTAGGTTTTGTGATTGCCGTCTTTGTGGCACAGTTTTGTCCAGCTGTTCCTGCAAGTCTCTGTGACACTGCGGGCATGGTGGAGCACTTAAGCCTTGAAATACTAACACAGCCCACACGGCCTGAGACGGCAGCCCTGGGGTACTTGGAGGGATTTTAAAGAACAGGAAGAAAAGACAGGAGCCCGCATTTTCCCCTCCTGCCTGAGCTGGAGCGGCCTGCATCTCTCCTCGCCCTCTGCAATGTAATTGCTCTGTCTGTGCTCTCAGCAAGTACTTGATTGATCCTTAGACCCTAGACTGAGAAAAGGAGAGGTGCGTTTTAAATTCAAGCGGGAAAACTATGAGATCTCTGGTTCTATAGAAATTGGCTTGTCTGGCTTAAACCTGTGTGCTTAATCAATACAGACCTGTCTTTAGAGACATCGATGTTAAGTATAACACTTTCACTGTACCTAGGGTTACTAGAAGTCAGTAAGTGCACAGTGTTTCTGTTATAAAATCTGTCAACAGGGAAAACAACCTGATATGATTAAATTTCGAAGTAAAGGTAACTGGAATAAAAACTTTTTGGTAAACCCCATAGGACTAATCATGTTTTGAAAACTTCCATCTAAAACAGTCCCTCCAAATTTTGGTAAGTTTAAAAATAAGTTAAATGATAGGAATTAACTGAATATCCAGACAATTTCAAATAAGATAAAATATTGGAACATTAATTGCTAAAAAGGTCTAAATTTATCTACTTTCATCTGGTGCTGCTGATGCTGCTGCTAAGTCACTTCAGTCGTTCATCTTGTGAGAGAGAAACTAAAGATGTATGGTGCTACCTTGAAATGTTTTCTCTCGATTTATGGAATGGCAAACCACTTCAGTATTCTTGTCTTGAGAACCCCATGAACAGTATGAAAAGGCAGAAGGATGACACTGAAAGATGAACTCCCGAGGTTGTTGGTGTCCACTACTGGGGAAGAGCGGAGAAATAGCTACAGAAAGAATGAAGAGACTGAGCCAGAGGGGAAACGATGTCCAGCTGTGGATGTGTCTGGTGGTGAAAGTAAATCCCGATGCTGCAAAGAACAATACTGCAAAGAACAATGCAACACCTGGAATGTTAGGTCCATGAATCAAGATAAATTAGATGTGGTCAAACAGGAGATGGCAATAATAAATTTCAACATTTTAGGAATCAGTGAACTAAAATGGGACAGGAAAGGGCGAATTTAATTCAGATAACCATTATATCTACTGCTATGGCCAAGAATCCCTTTGAAGGAATGGAAAGTGAAAGTCGCTCAGTCATGTTGGACTCTCTGTGACCTCATGGACTATACAGTCCATGGAATTCTCCAGGCCAGAATACTGAAGTGAGTAGCCGTTCTCTTCTTCAGGGGATCTTGCCAACCCAGNGACCCAGATAACCACGATGGTGTGATCACTCACCTAGAGCCAGACATCCTGGAGTGTGAAGTCAAGTGGGCCTTAGGAGACATTACTACAAACAAAGCTAGTGAAGGTGACGGAATTCCAGCTGAGCTATTTCAAATCCTAAAAGATGCTACTGCTAAAGTGCTGCACTCAGTATGCCAGCAAATTTGGAAAACTCAGCAGTAGCTACAGGACTGGAAAAGATCAGTGTTTATTCCAATACCAAAGAAAGGCAATGCCAAAGAATGCTCAAATTACCATACAGTTACACTTATCTCATATGCCAGCAAGATTATGCTCAAAATGTGAAAACAGTGTCATATTTCATTTTCTTGGGCTCCAAAATCAATGCAGACAGTGACTGCAGCCATGAAATTAAAAGACACTTGCTCCTTGGAAGAATAGTTATGACAAACCTAGACAGTATATTAAAAAGCAGAGACATCACCTTGCAAACAAAGGCCCATATAGTTAAAGCTATGGTTTTTCCAATAGTCATGTATTCATGTGTGGATGTGAGAGTCAAACCATAAAGAAAGCTGAGTGGCAGAGAACTGACACTTTCAAATTGTGGTACTGGGAAAGACTCTTTGAAGTCCCTTGAACAGCAAGGAGACCAAACCAGTCAATCGTAAATGACATCAACCCCAAATATTCATTGGAAGGACTGATGCTGAAACTGAAGTTCCAATTCTTGGGCCACCTGATGCAAAAAGCTGACTCACTAGAAAAGACCACTTGATGCTAGGAAAGGTTTGAGGGCAGGAGGAGAAGCGGACAATAGAGGTTGCTGGATGGTTGGATGCCATCACTGACTCGATGGACATGAGTCTGAGCAAACTCCGAGAGACACTGAAGGACAGGGAAGCCAGACTGCTGCAATCCATGGGGTCACAGAGTCGACACTACTCAGTGACCAGACGGCAACAAGGGAACGCCAGTGTAAGCGACAGTGCATGGTTGCTTAAGGAAAGCAGGATGTGTGGGTTCAGCAAAGGGAGTCTGGGGCGTGGAAACATATTTTGTTTAAAGGAAACAAGACGCGTTTGTCCTGGAGTTGGCTCCCTGAATGGGGAGAGAACACGGGACAACGTACAGCTATAGAAAGTGGCAGATGACTTGCAGAAGAGGAGCAGTGAGAAGAGAATTTTGCATGTGGTCAGGATTTTCTAGGGTTGGATTAAATTTAACTAGGTAAATGGATTTTACTAAGAGCAGACCGCTGCAGGACTGGACTGGTCTCTCTCACAAGAGAACAAAAGCTGTCCTGGATGCTCTTTTGATAACAGATCATGTAAGTGCCTTTAAGTGGTCTACATTGACTTTTTCTTTTTTTCCCACCTTAGTTCAAGGAGTAAGGATTGTTTCACGGAAATCTATGATCCTATCTGCCTGGGTGTTCTAAATCTTTTTGACAGAATTTTCTAATATCAAATTCTAATGGAAACTCTCCTGACTTCCAGTTAGCTTTGCGGTGCTTTAAGGGGAAAAGGACATCCCAAAGAGAGATCTTAAAGTAACTGGGTTAATCTGCAAGGAGAAGTTCGCTAGGTTCTCAGAGAACCCTGACAAGTTTAGCCATAAATTTGTCAGGCTGGGGTTGGCATTCTCTCTGACACAGCAGGCATCAGGGTTATTCTGGCCCACTGCTGCACCCCAGATGAAAAGGAGGATATACTGAAAAAGGCCAGGGAAATAGCAGATGGCCTACTGGCCACCAATCCACACCACCAACCTCATCAGGTGGGGGAATGGGGTGCAGAGGGGGGCGCAGGTATGTAACCCCAGAACATGACCCATAATCCAACTATGACAATCATGTAAGGCCACTAGGATGAGACATTACATTACCTGTCTATCAGAAGGAACGAAAAGGTGTGCCAAAGCCTGTAAATTATTATAAGGTCTGAGAGGTTACACAGGAAAAAGATGAAAATCCAGCAGTCTTCCTGGGCCAGTGACGGAGACGCTCAGGAAGGACACCAACACAGACCCTGAGTCTCACGGGAAACACTACTGGCCATGCATTTACCACTCAGGCTACTCCTGTATCCAGAGAAAATGACAAAAACTTGAGGCTGGGCCAAAACCCCACTGTAAAGGTCTTTAACAGCCGAGACTTAACGGAGGAGGCCAACCAAGCTAAGAGGCTAATACAGAAAACACAGCTTTTGGCGGCTGACTCACCCACCACCTCGAGGGGACCATGGAGGGCAGAGAAGGCTGGACACACCACCAAGAAACCACCTGGGCCTGAGCCAGTAACGCCTTTTGTCAGAAAGGGGGGCACTGGGAGGGGGATGTCCTGAGCACCCTCCTGTGGGACGCCAGAGGGGTGACCCTGACTGGCCCCAGTTCCCTGTGAGCGATCTCCACACCCCAAGTGACAGGCTCAGGTGCCTGGCCGGTTCCACGTCCCACCTGATCCATCCTCATTACTCCAGAGAGCCTCGGGGCATCTTCGATGTGGCAGGTAGGAAAACAGCTTCCTGTGGACAGTGGAGATACCTGCTCTGTTCTGACTTGGCCAACTAAAGGTCAGGTGATTTACATCTCCCCTTGCCTGCAGAGTCGGGTCTATTGTTACTACTCACTCCTTTCTGTACATGCCAGAATGCCCAGTCCCCCTACTCGGCTGAGATCTGCTACATAATCCTAGAACAGGATGAAGTCCAAGGAGGTAAAGGATCCAAACAGAGAATGCATATGTGAGCAGCCCCAGATGACCCACCTGGTGGGCATCAAAATATCCCCCACAACATCCTTCAAGAAATTTGAGAACAAGTCGATCCTGTAGTCTGGGATGCCCTCAATGCCAGGAAGGACAAAGTGTGCTCCCCCAATAAAAAATAAGATTTAAGGCCTGAGGAAAACACCCCTGGAAGAGACAATATCCTCTGAAGCCTGAGGCCCTGAGGGGAATCCAACTACTGCTCAGCAAATTCCTAAAACATGACTCATCAGATCCTGCCAATCCCCCTGCAACACCCCAATCCTTCCTGTCCAGATGCCTACCAGGCAGTATCAGCTGGTGCAAGACTCAGCAGTAGTGAATGAGGCGGTCAGCCCTATTTACCCACTGGTGCCAAACTCACACACCCTCCTCAGCAAACTGCAAGGGAACACCCAGTGTTTCTGTTTGGGACCTCAAAGATGCATTTTTCTGGATTCCCCAACATCCAGATTCTCAATACCTTTTTGCCTGTGAATGGCGGGACCCTGACACCCTGGGGGCTAACCAATATACCTTGACAGTGCTTCCCCAGGATCTTCAGGACGGCCTCCATCATTTTGGAAATGCGTTAGCAAGGGAACGAAGGGAACTGAGCCTTGAGGAGAGAGCTCTGCAACAATCTGTGGATGACACTGATGAGCAGTGATTCAGATCAAAATACCGATAGGGCCCTAAATTTTCTGGCAAAAAGTGGATATAAAGTCTCTCCAACCAAGGCTCAGATTTCACAGCAACAAGTTTAATATTTAGGATTTGTTTTGACCCGAGGGGCAAACAAACCCTGGCCATAGATCAAACAGCAATTAGTGCATACCATCTCCAACCACCAAGAAACTACTCCAAGGCTTTCTCGGGACAGCTGGGCTCTGTCATATCTGGGTTCTAAATGACAGCCATATAGCTAACCCCGATACGAGGCTCTAAAGGGAGGAGAAAGGAACCCCTCCAACAGAATAAGGACCATCAGTGAACTGAAGGGCCTGAGACGCTGAACACCGAGTTGAGCAGGGCACCAGCTGCGGGGCTCGCACGTGCAGAAAAGCCCTTTACCCTGTGTGTGCACGGAGGGGCCGTGACTAGCCACAGGGAGTCCTGACCCAAAAGCGGGGACTGGATCAGAGACCAGAGGCTTCCTTTTCAAAACAAACGCACTCTGCGGCCCTGGGATGGCCGAGCTGGCTGTGGGCAGTAGCAGCCCTGTTAATGAGGTATCCAAGCTCACCCTGCAGCAACATTTAGATGTATTAACCCCTCATCAGGTACAATCTGTGCTGGAAGTCAAAGGACATCACTGGCTAACCGGAAGAAAGTTAACAAGACATCAGACTCTTCTAACAAACATCCTGGACATTACCTTCAAGGTGTGCCAAACCCTGAACCCAGCAACTCTGCTTCCCGTGGTCAAAGAGTGGAGACTTAACGCATCAGTGTATGCGTACGTGCTCAGTCATGTCCGACTCTTTACAACCCCATGGACTGCAGCCCACCAGGCTTCTCTGTCCAAGGAATTCTCCAGGCAAGAACAGTGGAGTGGGTTGCCATTACCTTCTCCAGGGGATCTTCCCCACCCAGGGATCGAACCCAGGTCTCCTGCATTGCAGGCAGACTTCTTACCGTCTGAGCCAGCAGGGCAGCTAGACCTACACACTCTAATCGAAAAAGACACACAGCACCTGATGTTCACTGCAGCACAGTTTACAACAGCCAAGACATGCAAGCAAATGTCCATCCGCAAATGAATGGACACAGAAGACACACAAAACGGACTACTACTCAGCCATGCAAAAGAATGACGTAATGCCATCTGCAGCGGCATGCGTGCAACCAGAAATCATCACACTCAGTGAAGCAAGCTGGAAAGAGAAAGACAAATGACTCATGGTATTACTTACACACCAGATCTGAAATGTGACACAAATGAACCCACCTGTGAAACAGTCATGAATACAGAGAACAGACTCGTGATCGCCAAGACGGAGGGGGTGAGGGGAGGGATGGAGTGATAGGTTGAGGCGAGTAAACATAAACTCTTATATACAGAATGGATAAACACCAAAGTCCTACTGCACAGAACAGAGAACAGTATTTTATGACAAACCACAAGGGAAAAGAAGACTGAAAAAGAATGAACATATATATATATATAACTGTACAGCAGAAGTCAGCACGACACTGTCAATCAAGTAGGCTTCATTTTTTTTTAAAAAGCCAGCATGTAATAAACAACTCATAAAGTCTGCACGTTAAATCTAAGAATTTCTGTTCATGAAAAAGCCCTCATGATCTAGAGTGGCCACTCGCTGTCTAGGTAGCGGCACAGCTGGTCCACGAGCATCTTGTTAGGGTGATGTGTTGGCAACAAAGCCTGGAGCCCTTTGTCAGAGAACTGAACACACACACCTGCCCAGGAAATGGAGAAGCTGAAGGAGACTCTAAAGGAAGGTGGAGTGATTGCAGACTCAGCCATTCCTTACACCAAGGAGTATTTGAAATATAAGGAATCAAGGAGATGAGATGGTAGAGGAGAAGACCATGAGCTCACCTCTCCTTAAAAAAACATCCAAACCACAACTAACTACTGAACAACTACTGACAAAAAACCACTGTAACCTATCAAAAAGGATACCCTACATCGAAAGAAAAAGCCAAAACAAGACAGTAAGAGGGACACAATAGTGATGAAATCAAATCCCACACACATCAGGCAGGCAACCCACAAACTAGAAAATAATGATAACACTGAAATTCTCCCAGAGGAGTGGAAGTTCTGAACCCCACATCAGGCTTCCCAACCTGTGGGTCTGGCAATGGGAGTAGGAGTCCCCAGAAAATCTGGTTTTAAAGCTCATCAGGGTTTGATCACAGGAATTCCACAGGACTAGGGGAAATAGAAACCCTACTCTTGGAGGGTGCACACAGGATCTCAAGTATACAAAGATCCAGCGGGAAAAAGCAGTGACCTCATAAGAGACTGGGCCCAACATACCTGCCAGTATTGGAGGGTCTCCGGCAGAGGCAGGGGGCAGCTGTGGTTCACTGTGGGGACAAGGACAGAGGAGGCACCAGGGTGAGCCCTCTTAGAAGGGGTTTTCTCACTAAGACCTGGTCCCACCCAGCAGCCTGTAGGCTCCAGTGCTGGGATGCCTCAGGCTAAGCAACCAACAGGCTGGGATAAACTGCTTAAAATCTTCCTGCACACATAGCTGCTCAATAAACGCACCCCCTGACGTGGTCCTGCCTACCAAAGGAACAACATCCAGCTCCACTCACCAGTGGGCAAGAACCAGCTCCTCCCACCAGGAAGCCTGCACAAGTCTCTTAGACAGACTCATCCACCAGGGGGTGGACAGAAGCAAAAAGAATTATAACCCTGCAGCTTGCAAAATGGAAACCAAAATCACAGGAAGGCAGACAAAATTAGAGTAGATCAATGTGTCTCAGATGAATTAACAAGATTAAAAACCCAGAAGAACAAGTGAAGTGGAAGCAGGCCATCTACTGGAGGAAAAACAGTAATGACAGTAAAGATGATCTGGGGAAAAAATGAAGGCACAGATCAAGACACAAGAAATGTTTAACAAAGACCTAGAAGAACTAAAGAACAGAGATGAACAACAGAATAACTGAAATGAAAAATACACTAGAAGGAATCAATAACAGAATAACTGAAGCAGAAGAACAGTGAGCTGAAAACAGGTAAGTGAGTTAGAAGACAGAATAGTGGAAATTACTGCCAAAAACAGAATAAAGAAAAAAGAATGAAAAATGAGGTCTAAGAAACCTCTGGGACAACATTAAATGCACCAACATTCACATTATAGGGATCCTAGAAGGAAAAGAGAAACATATAAAAGACCTGAGAAAGTATTTGAAGAGATAGTAATTGAAAACTTCCCTAACATGGGAAAAGAAACAATCACCCGTGTCCACGAAGCACAGACCGTCCCAGGCAGGATAAACCTAAGGAGGAACATACCAAGACAAACTAACCAAATGGACAAGAACAAAAGACAAAGAAAAAAGTATTAAAAAGCAATAAGGGAAAAACAACAAACATACAAGGGAACTCCTATAAGATTATCAGCTGACTTCTCAGCAGAAACTCTGCAGGCCAGAAGGGAGTGGCACAATATATTTAAAGTGAAGAAAGGGAAGACCCTACAACGACGAAGGATAGTCCACTCAGCAAGGCTCTTACTCAGACTCAACAGAGAGGGCTGAAACGACTCAAAGGTGACTCCTAGAGGAGTTAAGCTCACAGACAGCACACTGGCCCACCACACAACTTCATTAGTAAATTTTACCCCTGACAATTTCAACTTATAATGAGAAACAGACTCTCTCAAACACAGAAACGAGGGGCATCAGAAAACAAACCTTCAACGAACACCCAAGCCAGACGCATGTACAACACATACAAAGCTCATACCTGGAGCTCATATTTGAAACTACTTAGTGAAATGGGGAAATTATAACTAAAGGAGATCTCAACCTAAAATGGTCAAATTGGGGTTCTTTTGATAGTCCAAAACTGATATTTTTGCATGCACAGTTAGAAAAGCCGGCTGTTAAGATCAGACAGACTGAATGGAATGCTCACTCTGATTGGTTATTTAGAAGCTTCTAAAAGAAGAAACGATACAGTAACTTCTTTGCAGGAAAACAAACAGAAAATTGCTTGAAATTATATCAGAACTAAAAAAAGCTGTTAGTGCTGACTCTCTCTCCCCCTCTGTTCCTCTTCTATCTGAATAGCCTGGCCTAGACAC